AATACGAATTGACAGTTGTCGGCTGGTCTGTCGACTTGGATGTGAAGTCGAAAGAAGATCGTGGCACAGTGGAATCTCGGCTTTCTGATGCTGAAGAGGTTACGTCATCGCAGATCTGCCTGATGCACGATTCAACCCATATGTTGGAGACGAAATCTATCGACGCACTCCCGGAAATTATCCAGCTTGTCCATGACAAAGGATATAAGTTTGTGACCCTAGAGGAATGTCTCAAAGGCTAAGGGCTTCCAACACAGAGACACAACATGTTCTCTTTCTGTTTGCAATGTCATGAGAGAAAGAAAAAAACCTTAAGAGCTTATACGCAGGCATACTTCAACTTTGTCAGGACACGCATTCAGGAAAAAGACTAGAGCTGTCGAATATATGAAATCCGGATGCAAAGTTTCTTTCCTTCTCGACGAAGTTCAAAAGGAACAGTCTGTCTCTCAATCATTCACTTTCCGAAGAGATTTAATATTGACATATAATGTGTGTATTCTCAACAACGATCCCCGCCATCCTCAAATCCATCCATCGCACTCTTGCCACATATCCATCCACCTCTTCTCTACTATCTACAAGGATCGAAATCCCAGACTGGCCACCCCGTGGAAGCCTCCTCCGATTTTTTGAGGGGTTTGGGACGTCTTAGAAAAAAAGATGGGGGGGTGTGGAGGGGCGAAGCACCCCGGGTTTTCGCCCGTGGAAAATGGCTCTTGTTACCGCAAGAGATTGAGCCCAACACACGAGATCGAGCTCTGTGTTGCGGCCGGTCTACAGGCAAGATGTGTGGGTGGTGTTGGGACCGGCCCCCTTCTCTGGCACTATGGAGCTACCCGGTGGACTGACGACGATGAACCTGCAATGCATACGACAGCTCAGATCAGTTTCACGAATCTTGCTCTAAGCTGAAAGCTGAGCTGGAGGGTGCTTATGCAGCCCCGATTTGAGTTTTGCGGCCTCCGACAAACCAACTTTTTTTCTCCGGCAAACCAACTTTTTTTTCTAGGGGGTCTTTTCAAGATCTGTCTTCGGATATCTGTGGAGGGGGTCACCGCGAGGAACGAGTTTGCTTCGAGGTTCAAATCCGGTCACTCGTTTGCGCGAAACACGGCGGCAAAAAACCCGGAAAATCGGTTTTGGCTGTTTTCTCTCGGGTTTTTGGTGCGTTCGCCGCGCAAGTCTGTGTGTGAGTGCTCCTTTGTGTGCTCTGTCCTCACGCAAGCGGTCATCGCTCTGCGTTTCGTCAAACACGAGAACCAGCCACCGAAAGTTGACGCTGCCGTCAACCCAAATCACCACAATTGTGTCAATGCATGATACATTTCGCCACGCTGTGTTCACACGTAAGCGCTACTTGCTTTTCGTTCCGTCAACAAGAAGAACCAGTCACTGAAAGGTTACACAGCCATGAACCATCAGTCACACAATGCATCGTTCACGGCACAACTGCTTTACGCTCTCTTCGTACGCCAGTGGCCGTCGCTCTTCGACCCGCAAACGAGACCATAGCCGCTGAAAACTTGCTCACCGCTAGATCCACCGCAATCTCCTTGCACACGCTTCAAGGTCGATCTGGTTGATGAGAATATATGCGCACAGACGCTGCCAAAAAGGAGTCTGCTTCTAGTCGCAATTGCGCTTTCTTGTTGGCGGAAAATGTGGCGAACATAGGCGAACACTGGTGTCGGTTACACGGAATTTGGGCTTCTGCTGATTTCTCTCGGGACTGCGATGCATTCGATGCAAAAGCATGTATGTCTGATACATTTCGTCATGTTGTGTCTGCACGCCAGCGGCCATGGCCCTGCGCCGTTTTGAGAAAGAGAACCAGCCACCGAAAGTTGACACAGCTGTGGACCTAAATCAGCACGATTGTGTCAATGCATGATACATCTCGCTATACTGTGTTCACACGCAAGCGGTCAGCTTTCATTACTCTTGTCAAAAAGGAGGAACAGCCACCCGAAGTTCACACAGTTGTGTCGGCCACCGAAAATTTACACATTCCCTCGCGTTTTTTGACACCGAATAGATGTTCAGTCAGCTGCTTGTTATCGGCAGCACACCACACATCAACCTATCCATTACGTTGGCCTGCATCGGGATGACGCGACAGACTGTGGCGTTTGCCAGTGATGTGGCGAGGGATCAGCAAGTCACTGAGTGTGAACGACAGTGACATCGACAATCTCTCTCTCGAATGAATCTTCGCCGAGAAGTGGCTCAATAAGTGTCAAAGGGCCTCTGCGGAACAAACATCGAACGCACTTCTTGAGCTGACGATGACTTCTCAATTCATGTTCCAACTTACTATGGTGCGATTTGGTTCTTTGACATTGCTAATTGTGTCTCCCTCCCTCCCTCCCTCCCTCCCCTCTCTCTCTCTCAATGATTACAGTGGGCCTCGGATAAATGGGGCACGGCCCAGGTGTTTTATATAGCGTTTTTCCCATATATCCGTTGTCCCATTTAAGCGAGGCAATGCACACGCCTTCTGCTTAGCCGTCTGAGTCACCAGTGCATCGCAGCAGGCCACCTGACTCGCCTGGCGTGAGCTTGGCCCGGAAAAAAGAAAAAAAGCAACCCGGCCGGCGGCGTGGATGAGGAGAGCGAGCAAAGCAAGTGCTTGAGCGTTGCTTGGGCGAGACAGACAAGCAGGAGTGATTCACCGGCGAATGAGTGATGGAACACGACGAGCTATCGACAGATTGAGTGATGGAATGTCCAGAAACACTCATGAATCATGCAGAGACAGTCACTCACCACACCATCACACCTCTTACCTGCTTACCACTATCCTCCTCTGCCATAGTCTGCTCGGCACTCATCTCTCGCTCCCCCTCACTCACGAATGATGAATGATTCACTCATTCTTCTCAAATCACTCCTTCTTCTCAGATCACTCAAATCACTCAATGAATGATTCGCTGTCGAAAGCTTGAAGGTCGAACAACGTGGAGAAGAAGCTCATGGCTGAGCAGAGAGGAGACAGACGGTGCGATGATAACGTCTACGGTTCTCGAGAGAGGCGGAGAAACTCTCGAGACTCTGAGTAGCCCTCCTCACTCCGCTGGTGGGGAGGGCCGCAGGTGGCCACCTGCTCGTCTGACGATGGTTTTCGAGTCGCTCTCTCACTGCAAATGCTATGATGTGCTCAGAGGCAAGCCATTCATGGTGCTCCGCGGCTTGTTTGCTTCGCTGCTTTTCGTTTGCTTGCTTGGCCCCACTTTGGCGGCCCCGATCTCGGCTCTTTATGGGCGTTTGACGGTAAAATTCAATTCACAGTGATCAGTGAGGCACGCTGGACCACATGCAGGTCATTGCGACTTCTCACAATGAATGAATGTCACCGGCTTCGACAAACGCGCAAAGTTTACATCGGATAAATGGGATTTTCCCATATAACGATTTTCCCATATAAGCAGGGTCCCATTTATCCGAGGCCCACTGTAGACACCTGTCTTATTGACGCTGTCCAATACTTTGGTTTGAGGCCCTCTGGCAGCTAACTGAAGCAACTGCAGCCATATTTGGGTTGAGTCCACGAGACATCAATGCCACATAAAAAAAAAGACCGCCGCCAGACTGTACGCCATTAGGATGGGGTAAATAGGTGGATGCTCGCCGAGTTCATGGCACGTAGATTGATAACATCCATGAATGAACAGACATCGGCCGAGACATGACATCCATGCGGCATCATTCCAACAAAAATGGCGGATCAGTCATGAAAGACAAGGCCGCCAACCGTGCATTCTCCAGCAGCAGACCAGGCAGGCAGCTCTCTAAGGCGTCGCAGCCCTTTCCCAATATTGCCGTCAGCCAGGCGTCTCTTCTCCCCACGGGCGTATACGTAGCACTTGCAACAGCCACCGGCGGCATCCCCTCAGCGAGAGATCCGAGGCATTCATATCCTTGGCAAGGCTCAGGCAAGGAAGAATCCGGATCTGTGGGGTCCGCCCCCCAGTCAGCATTTCGCACCCGGGCCTCATTCTGACGTCAAGGCCCCAGCCTAGCTTCGGACATTCGACACACAAAGGGAAGCTCCAGTTAACAAAGAGATGCTCCAACTTAAATGTTCAAACGCGGAAACAAGCGCGGAAAACAAATGCAACCGACAAGAACCGAAACCTTTCCTCCGTCAGCACCAGTCAGCACAACTCACCTTGCACAAGGGCGGAGATGAAAGACCACAAGGGCGGGGTGTCTGTGATGCTGTCTTGAGCTTGCTACTTCGTCCTTTGACGGCCAACACATCGCCTGGCTTCGGAGACACGTGTGGATTAGCGTTCGTACAACATTCCACACCGCTCTCTTCGCTTCCATCATGCATATTCCTCTACTTCCCCTCTCTTTACCGCTCCGGCTCAGGTGAAGGGCGATGGATGCAGCATTTTCTGCACCTCCCGTAAGCGGTGCGGTTGGCGTAGGTTGCGTAAGAGTGCTCGCTGTCCCGCCAAGTGTACCACTCGTTCATCGTCGATCCACTTGAGGCGCTCAACGAGGTACTTGTGAGCTATGTGCTCTCGTGTCGCAGCTGCTAACGCCCCTTTTCTTGAAGGGAAGCAAGTCTGGGCTCACATGATATATACTGTGACCCTTGGGTATTTATACTTTATTAATCGCCGAATGTTCCGATGTAGGGCCATTGTAGGCAAAGACGCCTAGGTCGGTCGGCATACCTAAGCAGAGTACCTCTATCTTCCGCTTACAAAGCCCAATCATCGCTCACAAGCCGTGTCTCAGACGTCTCTTCAGTCAGATTGACAAAATAATCCATTCTTTTTACTCATGTCCAGCCACTCCTTCCAGCCTGCCACCACAGAAAGGCACACGACATGTAAGACATACATGAATGAATTCAAGAACAGCGAGACGCCGGGGTTTTCGCTGCATATGTATGTCTTATAGGTATGCCCACAAGCAGAAGATGCAACCGTCTCCGCTGCATCTGCCAGAGGGAAGTCATCCTAGATGCAGCACTGTGGATGGGCTAGTATAGCATGCAGAAACCTGCGCAACACACTAATAGATGACGGGGGATGGAGAGAGACGAATTTATGCATGCAGGTAGCCACTACAGCGGGAAAGAAAAGGACTAGAGCTGTCGTGTGCATCCCCCGGCCCACATACCGCCGGGGTTTCGAATGAAATGGACAATCTCATCCCCAGCAAAAGCAGAGGTAATGGCTTCGCTCCCATTGCGCTGGCAACTCGGAGTTCTGCGAGGAGAATTCAGCAGCAGCGGTTTCAGGAGCACCCTAGGCGGCCTGACGGCCAGGTCAACCGTGCCATTAGATGAGTCAAATGGAGATGAATGCCTCTGAGGATTGTTGCAAATATACAACGCTTTCGGCGGGTAGCCGGACGGTTCTGCATGGGCTGAGGAGATAGAGGCTTGTGGCTTTCTTCACGTATGTATAGCCGAAACGATATCTTCGGAAAGTCCTCGCTCGGTTGTAAACCGCCAGTGATGATTTCGGGAGCCGCCTGAACTTCACCACTCACCATGATGTTGACAGTGTCCTCTAATCCTTGACGGAGATGACAAATGGTGAGTGGTGATAGTGATGCGACGAATGTATCCCTTTCTCGTATGTGAGGCGCACTTCATCGTCTTGTGTTAATAAAGCATCCTGCTGCACATACCTGCACGCCAACAGACACAAGATGCAGGTTCAGATCACCGTTGAGCGTGTCAGCCCGTGGCCATCGTCGATGAAAAAGGTTTGGGGTTTGAGGTTATGAGCGCCACGCTAAAGTTTTCTTGACGGTTCTATCCGCGCATTGGGCCCATATGAAACAACGCGTCCGGCAGACAAACCGTTCGATCACGATCGTATGGAAGAGAAATCGGTACCGGTGTTGTGTTGCTTGCAGTACTACACACACGTCAACGTGTCGAGAAGCTTCGTGTTTTTCGTCACGTTTTGATCAGTGTGATTGAAAATTCCCTTGAGATGTTGGAATGATGTGTCGGCCCGGAGATGGATAACCTCGGCTATAGCCTAATTGGTTTCTCAACAGAAGAAACTCGCGCTTGCGGGTAAAACGAGGCAACAGGATCATACTCATCTCCAAACGAATCATCGCCATCCCTTATGTCCTTCTTGGGTGCCTCTTCGCAGGTCGAACTTCTGGCGGTTGACGGAAGAGATCCCGTCGACTATCATGTGGTGGATAAACTTCGAATATGCGGTCACCATCGATTGTCTGCTGCTTCACCGCTTGACGCCGCAGCCTCTTCTCACCGCTCCCGAAGCATCGAAGAGGTGCAGGAGCGAGTCGATGGTCGAGCCTTTCGTGTTATCTGCAGCCACACCGGTGTTATCTGCAGCCACACCGGTGTTATCTGCAGCCACACCGGTAAGTGCCGCCAGACACAGCAAAATAAGCCTTCGCGGCTTTCATGACGGTCTTGTCGATGCCGCTCTCGCGGGTCAGGCACACATTCGCAATGACACGATGTACTTGTTGTCCCTCAGGTCTTTGTAGTGGTTCAGCAAGTGGATGCAGATAATTTGGAACGCCCGCATCTGCTCTTCGTTCAATCGGTAACTGTTCGCCCACAACGGAGAAGGTGTTGTCGTAGACCGTCTCAGGCGGCTTGAATGCGGACGCCGGCTGCGCCAGCAGTCGAGTGAGATCGGTGGTATTCATCGAGTGACCACCGTGTGTGAAGAGATTCGACTCCAAGAGAAGCTACTCACTCAGAAGGCTTGCTTCATCTGACGTGGCGCGGCTGTGGCCGATTTCATTTACCTTATTGCGTTGCTGGTGCAGGTCATCGTTGGGCTGATCCTGGCGGTTCCCATTTGATTGACAAGCCGATTGACCGTCATCAAGGGCAGTCGTCGATAGCCCCTTCAACAGGCACATCCAATTGTATCCAGCGATGCATTGATATACTTCGCGAACGTCTTCAACACGGGCGCAGCAGGAGCGGCAATAGGGGGATGGGGTGGCTTGCGTTCTTGGTGCAGCCACTCTGAATACCTGCATGTTATCGCCACGTCTGTCGTCAAGATCTGCATGTTTTTCGAGCTCTCGCCATTGTTGCATGCGTCGGTGTGCTTCTCGAAAACACTCGTGCTGTGCATGTCTCTGTGACGCATAATTGAACCACCACTTCGCACGCTGCTTTCGACCCTCGCCCAATTCGCGGCCCGGGATGCCCACGCAGTGGGTGCCCCTTACCCGGAATATGAGGCTCGAGTTCGGGGGTCTAGGGCGTTCGTTAAACGACTATGTATTGAGGAAAGGTTTGAAGCCATTCTCTATTCGTCTAGGCATCGCAGCGACATGAATCTTTTCCAGGTAACGAAGCGAGTGATGAGCCTCTGTTTGACTCACTCGCTATCGGTGGATATTTCTTCCTGCAGGCTCGGTCACTTCTGCTCTTCTACTGTCTTCAAGATGGGCCTGCATCCGACGCGCTCCTCCCCTCCGTCCTTCCGCAACGTCGACGACCAAGCGCGATCAAGGCGCAGCTTAACTCACCTCGAGACTGCAGGTGCAAAGGAATTTGCTTGGCTGTCGTCGCTGCCTGGGATGCAAGACGTCGCTCATCTCGGATGGCCAAGCCATCTCTACTAGCCTATGCTGCCTTCTGTCCCCCCTCCACCATCCTTCAACGCTTCCACTTGTCCACGTCCCCGTCTGGCCAACTTTCCCCTCCGTCCCGCCTCCCTCTTGTCTTCTCTGCCTCCTCCAGCATGCTGCCCGAGTGCGACGACCACGTCGGGTCTTTCACTGTGGGTGATAGGGTGCGGGTGATAGAAAGCACCGTGGTTTTGTGGCACAGGCCGGCGTTCCGCAAAGAGGGCTTCAACCCGCGTGGCTTGGTGGGGACTGTAGTGAGGGTCCGCAACGAACAGAGGCTGACCGTCACTAAACCGCTAGTGGTCAAGTTCAACGAACCGCCATTCTCGGCACATTTTTCCTCAGACGAGCTTGAGCTGATCAGCACTAGCTCAGTTGATGAAGAATGGAAGACTGGAAGAATGGGATACTGAGTTGTCCAGTATTCCAACGTTGCGCCATCGCATCCGAATCATGTTTGATGGACATTTAGGTTGTGGATGGGTCGTGTGTTTGGGTTGTGTGGTTCGGCTAAGCGCTCAGTGCGCTTTGTTGAGTAGATACATGAACGGGCGAGGAAGTTCGTCTCAGCATCAGTCCATATCAAGCGTCCTCCATGCATGTCTGCTGAATCAGACACGTAGGACATGTACATGCATGTAGATGCATTGCAAGTACAAAATTCTGCCTTGTGGGTTGATACTGTGAGGGTCGGATAAGTGGGACACGGCTCAGGGTGTCATTTGCCGTTTTTCCCATTTATCCGTTCCCATTTATCCGACCCAAGTTCACACGCCTTCTGCTTGTCCGTCTGTCACCAGGGCACCGCAGCAGGCCTCCTGACTCGCCTGGCAGCCGTCGAGCTTGTCGAGTAGCCAGACTCGAGCTTGGCCCGGAACAAAAAGGGGGAAAAAGGCCGGCGGCGAGGATGAGGAGAGCGAGCGAAGCAGGTGCTTGAGCGTTGCTTGGGCGAGACAGACAAGCAGGAATGATCACTGGCGAATGAGTGATGGAACACGACGAGCTATCGACAGATTGAGTGATGGAATGTCCAGAAACACACATGAATCATGCAGAGACAGTCACTCACCCCACACCAACACACCTCAATCGATCTCTAAGTTCGCCTTTTCACCACTATCCTGCTCCGCCATAGCCTGCTCGGCATTCATCTCTCTGCTCGGCATTCATCTCTCGGCATCATCTCGGTCATCTCTCGGCGCCCTTGACCGTATTCTCTCGTTACTTATCTGATCAACGGCCGGACCCATCCGCATCACACACGCGGAATAAATGTAATGGTGCTGACTGACCTTGACTTTGTAGGTGTTAGCTGTGTTGGATGGGATGCGCTCCCGGTATGCTGGCGGGGGATAAGCCGAAAAAGGCCCCCTCACATGTGAGTGTGAGTGTCACATGTGAGTGTGAGTGTCTTGCTAGTGGTGAACTCCCGGCCGTTTGGCTCTCGGTCGCCAGGTGCAGGGTGGCCGTCCGGGTGCCGCTCTTGGACGGGATGCAGCGGACCTGATGAAATAAACAGCAGACCACCCAACACAGACCAACAGACGGACGAGCAGACATCAGGTCACTGGGTGTGGTAGGTCTGCCCTTTGGGCGAGACGGTGACTATCATGCCCTTGGGTGGCAACACTTCAAAATCATTGGCGTGGTCTCCCGTCACGTCTTGCACTTGCACGGCCAGGACGCCGGGGCCACTGTTGGCTATGGGCACCTCAACAGCAGGGCTGGGCACGTGCACAGCACTCTTGCCCACTGACAGACTCGCAGGCAGAGCCGGCGACAGACTCGACCCGCCCAACGCCAGCAGCCGCAGGGAAGAAGTCACACCGCTGCCGCCGCTCTGGATGTCCAGCGTGGCCCTGCATACATGAAGCCAAAGACAAAGAATACGGCAAAAAGGTGTCTGGATGGATGGGTGCAACATACCCGTATTGGCCGGCAGTTACAGCGTCGACTTCGACTGTCACATCGACTGTGGCGCCCGCTGCTACTGTGGGCGTCGCCAAGTACGACACGGCGTTCGTCAAACCTGCCGTCATCTGCACTTATACATGTCAGGACACCCACTTCTTCTGCACTACCATAGACAGACAGTCAGTCATTTGGTGGATGGCTTACCTGGAGGATGGCTGACCGTCAACGGTCAGGAACGTGTCGTTTTCAGAGAGCAGCAGGACCTCCTTCTGGACCTCTTTGTAGGATAAACGTATGAATCCACAGACCAGTGTCTCAACAGCGAGTGTCTGTACATTCTATCAGCATCATGAGCTACAGTCAACACCCCTCACTCGCTCTCTCCCCCTCTTCCTCCTCTTCTTCGGGCGCTCACTATTATCTCCGGCGGGCTGCTCTAACTCTTCCCCCTTGCCGACAAATGTGTAGTGCAGCCTCTCCATGGCCTGCCGGCAAGCGATGGCCTCCTGCTTGGCCTTCTCAACGCCGTCGGGGTCGTTGACATTGATGAGAAACGAGTCCCTGCGCTTTCGCTGGCCGGCTCCCGCCATATGGCCACCCATTGGTGCTTCCTCTTGTCGTAGCTGACGCCCTTGACGCCGCTCTGGTGCTCAGCCCGCTGCTGCACAGACGCCCGACCGCGACGCTCCATCTCGAGACGGTGCTGCTCAGCCATCGCCTTACATACACACGCATACGTACAGGTGCATCATGAGGCTGGCAAGAGAGAGCATGAAGTTCAGCCGATTAAGTGGTTACCTTGGCCTTGTCGCCGTGATGCTTGACGTAGAAGCACTTGGCCTGCGGCTTGCCCTTCTCTCCTGCCACTGAGCCACCCAGGCCTGGTCCTGCTCGTGCCACCGAACACCCCTCACATCAGACTGGTGTGCTGCAGCAAACCCACACACATATGAACACAGGTGTCGCTTTTCCGTCCCTCTCATTTGCTCACCCGCGACGTGGACGACAGTCTTTCTGGTCTTGGCCGTCCTGCAGCGGCAGCGCCCCTCCTTGCCGTGTAGCATGCGGGAGTAATGCTATAATCGTGACACACCCACAGGGACGAAGCAATGCTGTGTCCTTTCTGTCGTGCTATATATGCATTCACCCACCTCCTTCCTCCACTCGGGGAAACCCTCCACGCCACGAAGAGGCAAAGCGAGGCAACCGTAAAACAAAAGGTGTGGCTGAAATTCTCACCTCGCTACACAATGCACGATATGCCTCGGCCGTCAGCAAAGATCTGAGTTGCCTGCAAAAATCAGAGAGGACATAAGTGTGTGTGCATATGTGGTTATGTGGGCTCCTTCTCTCACCCCTCATTGCGTGGCTTGACGTGTATGAAGTAGAAGTCGGAGATGGCCATCCAAGCGTACCGCAACACCAGCTCGCGCCTGCTGTCGACCAACGCCGCCTTCAGCCACGCCGCCAGGCCTACTGCGCGCTGCGCCACAGAATACAGTACACATCATGGCACATCAAGCGAGTGTCTGCGGTGCGTACCCATAGATGATGGGTGTTCGATAAACGCTCGAGCTCGGTGGCGGTGCAGATGCAGGAGGTCCTCTGAGTTGCCTGGATGGCTGAGATGAAACCGATGACCTCCTGCACACAGACACGGAAAAAATTCAACCAGATCAATCGATGTCACCTGCCACCCCACCTGCTCTTCGATAGCGCCGCCCTCTTAGGTGTTGAGGACGCCGTCGAACGAATCAATGTGGGGTGGCAGTCTGTGTCGTGCTTCTACTTCAGGTACTTCTTGATGGCCTCGAGACGCTCGAGGGGGTCGGCTATCTCGATCAACTCCTTGAGGGCCCGCACCCCGTCCATCTCGGCATCCGCTAAGTCGGGCACGTGTGGTTGTCCGTGTACGGGTACACTGAAGTCACAAGGCACACAATGAATGAATATGAGTGGGTTGATGTTGATGGGTCGTTTGGCTCACCGCCTAGGATCTTTGTGATGACTTGTCCGAGGCGCATTTGACGAGGTTGAACGCATCCTGGCCCTCGGACTCCATCAGCAACCCGTTGTCGCGGGCGGTCATGTACTTGTCGTGCGTCCTGAGCTTGCCCCCGTCGTGACTATACATCCTGAAAAAGGAAAGAGAGAAGTCTGACTGCGGCCAGCCCTATGAGTTCATTCCTTACCGGCCATACGGTGCGTGGCGCTCTTTTGGCTTCTTGTAGTAGTCGTCCGTCGGCCTGGACAGTGGATCGATGTAGTAATACCACTTGCCGTCACGCCCATACTGGACACGGACATAGAAATCAGGTAAGTTGACTGGCAGAGTCAGTGACGTGTTTACCGCTTGAAAATAGAGGACGGCTGGCAGTACCTTCTCCTCCTGCAGCAGACGCCTTTTCTCCTTCTCCTCGTTCTTGGGCATGTCCTTGACAAGGTCGTCGACGAGCTTCTGCACAAACGTCTCCGTCAGAGTCGTGAGGTGTGGCCGCGTCGGAGTCGTCCGGAGCGTGTGTTTGTCGTCCCTGACGTCTGCCTCCACGCTCCGCCACATCGCGCTCAAACGCTGCCGTGTCCTCTCCAGCCTGAAAGACAAAGAGAAAACTCCCCAACGGCCTGAAAATCCATCTTCCCGCCCCGCAAAACCCCCATCTACCTCCAGCACTTTCATCTTCACCAAACGGCTCTGCCGATCCGTCCCGAGGACGTCGCTCACTGTCACCAGCTTGGGCATCTTCTCTACCGTTGCGTCACTGCCCTGAATGTCGAGGGTGACGGGCAGCGGGTGGTCTTGCGGAGGGACGGATGGCGCGTCGTCCTCCTTGCCGTCGGATGTGGCCGGCGAAACCGAGGGACATCTAAATGCCCTCCTCTTTTGCGGTCCCCTCTTCTGGTGTGGCACCCCTCTGCTCGGCATCTTTCTCTCCCTCTGCGCCTTCCTCTCCTTCTCGTCGTCTGCCTCATGGCCGTCCTCCCTCTCATGCCGCATGGCTTCCGCGATCTGCTTCTGCGCTGTTTGCATGGCATCCGCACAGCGCTGCTGGAGGAGGCTCAGCTGTTGCAGCGATGGGAAAGGGGCTGCAGCCATGGGTGGCGCAGGACCTTCTGGATGGTCGGTGCTCGGAGAGGGTGCGAGCACCTCAGGGACGGCATCCGGCTCCTCAGCAGATCCCTCTTCGTCTTCGGACGGCCGGGAAGACGAGGATGAGAGGGATCTGATGGCGCATCCCCATAATTGAAAGCCGGTAGATTCGCTGAAATTAGCCATAGGCAAATAGAACGATAACAATCAGCTTTGAATGAATGGCGTTGGTTCGTCATGCACTCGCCCGTCTTGCACTTGTCCGCCCAGCATTACACATGCGACCTACTGCTGACCGACAACAGCTGCCTATCTACACACAGTGCAGCATCTGTCTATATCACCACCCTCACGCAGCCCTCCATCGCTGCGCGTCCTCCTCTCGCCGGACACTCGCCATCTGACTCACACACACAAACGGACGATGAGCGGCATTCGCCCTCTTTCACCTCGACCGTGAATTCCCTCATCGCGACGAGGCGGCGCGTCGCCTCCCACATATCTATCGACCATGGCTGGACTCGTCGGAAATCGACGTCCTTCCCCGTTGAAGCACACGCGCTGTGGGCGAACATGCCTGCACGAATCTGGCCATAACCACACGCCTGACAGGCACACCCACATGCCAATGCACGCGAGCACCCTCCTGCCCGCTCGGCGCTTTCTCTCACCGGCAATGAATTGATCTGCCACGGCCAACGCCTCAATGCGCAATGGCATCCCCTTCGCAACCTGCATGAACACACACGCACAATGGGAGATCCGTTTGTATTCTCGGCGTTCTCTCCCCTGCCTCCATCTGGTCACCTCATCAGTGATCTGCACCCTCAGCGAGAGCTGTCGCTGCTGGCCTCGCTCCTGACGCTTCAGCCCATCAATGTTGCGACTCCGTTAGCCATTGGAACACAGATCTGCCGACATCTGCGCCGAAACGAAGAGAGGGACAGATGGGGATGGATGAGGCAACGGGAAGAAGGCCAAGGCCGCTCGTTGTGAGGAGATGGAGGAAGAGGGCGAGAGATAGATGGATGGATGAATGGACGGCAGGGAGTGGCGGAGGCGGCCTGTGGTGTGTATAAGCCGCTGATGAAGTCACGATTCCCCGAGTCCAATCTGGGGTAGGGCCTGGTGTGAAAACAGAAGTGGGTGCAAATTCTCTGGCCCCAGGGAGACATGGATGGTGCGAGCCTTAAAAGATCGAAGTAGATCGAACATCCATGGTAAAAAAGACTCTGTGCATACTTTGAGTGAATCCCATCCATCCATTTTGAGTTTCCCATCATTTCCAATCCATCTGACGGCTCCTGCCCTCCCTTGCTGAGTGCTTCGGGCGCCGATACGGCAAGCTCTTCGACGTACGTCTTTCCTCTAGAGATCTCTGTCCGAGCCGGTTGCCGGCAGGAGGTAAGACGCGGTCGCTTCTGGAGGACGCTCTGGTGGCGGGTTGACGGTTGCCTGCCGAGAGGTACCCCGAGGGAAGAAAGGAAGGCTTCTGGTTGTTCTGTTTGTGTTAGATCTCTCAGCAGGTGAAGTGTGTGTGGGGCTGTCATCATCCTCCTGCCCGTGTGGTCCTGCGAAACGTCGTCCTGACCAAGATCTGCTTGGTTCGAAGCCTCCCAAGGACCTGAGCGTCCCTGCACGTCGTGTCTCGAGCGTCCAAGCCAAGCCCGTCCCCTCTGCTCTCTTTGTCCTTTTACTCCCCTTTCATTTTGCCTTCCGAGCACACCTTGCTGTTACCAAAGCAACCGAACCAGTCGACCACCCATCACCTCAAACCAGCCCTGGTCAGGCACCACTCAATCGCTTGACGCTCGCTCTCCTCTGAGGGAGGTCAGTTCGTGTACGTGACATTGGACACATTCGTGGCCGTGTTGCTCATCAATTGCTATCAAATCAAGTGACATAGTCGCACGAATCGCTCTCTCTTGTGTCTCGAACCGAACGTGGTCTCACACCACCCTATTCGCGACACACACCACAGCATCCACACTCGTGTGCACCCCTCAAACGGCCAGCAGCATCCAGCCCTGCTGTATAATCGTAGTCGTCATAGTACTCATCGTCGACACCCGCCGAATCCATCGGCACCTCCGCCGAATCCAGATGATCTGCTCCTCCATCATACCCTCTAGCTCCCCCGCACACTCCCGGCCGTCACTGTCCTCCATAACCTCATCTTCAGAGCTGCCAGGCTGTCCCATCTCTCTCATTGCATCACTAGCTACATCAGACGGGCTGTCGTAGTCGGTGTCGATGTATCTTTGATTCTCCATAATATTATTCTATTATTATTTTCATTTCTATTTTATTTTATTTTATTTATTTTCATTTTATCTTTATTTATTTATTTTTGCGTCAAGCTGCTCAGCGAGGACAGATCAGTGTGTATATCGACACCTGTGAATGGATCGATGGCCCTCCTCGGCCCTCCTCGCTACATCTCGGCCCTCGGTGTCTTGTCAGGCCATATGGCCATATAAGGCCATAACGATGCTAGGGGAGGTCATTGCGGGCAGATCTGCGGCTGTACAAGGTCAGAGGACCCTCCGATGACCACCGCACTCTCACACACATCGACGTGAAACGGACGGAGTGGGTCGGTTAATAGGAGATAGGAGATAGGAGCTGGTTGATGCAATTGACACGGTTGTTGTGACCCACTCCTTCGGAGGCGAGTTGACACCCACCGAGCCCGCCTCTCCGTACGAGCCAACCGCACCGCTCGTCGACCCCGCCATGCCACCTCAGCAAGATGCCAACCCATCTCCGCCTGTGGCCAGCAGCAGCGCCACATCTCCGCCACAGGACGCCGCCCCGAAGGCAGCAGCGGCACCCAAGCAGGCCCCGCGCAAGCAGGTGCTCATATGCCTGGGCGACTACCCTACGCACCTCGATATGAACAGTCACCCAGGAAGCGTAGGGTCACCAAGGAAGCAGAGAAGGCGGCACCCAAAGGCCGTCACCAAGCGGCAGGAGATCTTCGAATTCGCCAACAGCAGCAGCAGCAGCGGTGCCAATCCGAGCAAGAAGAGGGTGCGTGAGGAGGAGGGAGAGGAGGGGGAGGGAGAGGATGGTGCCAAACGGCGGCACTACGACAAGATGCGCGGGACTACATAGCGTCCGAAAGCTGCGCCTCCTGCACGTTGTGAAGGGACAACAGGAGGGGGGCGACAAGGACAAGTACCAGGTGGACGTCGACTTCGGCAAGCACGGCGACAAGAAAGAGGAGGATCAGTGAATGTCGGTTGGTTGGTGTGTTTAACGCATCCATTGGTGTTTGTGTCAGTTCCGCCGGCACCGTCCAGACCGCCTCATGTGTCGAGTTCCTCAAGTACTACACGACGCACGGGGGACCTGGCGGCAAGACACCCCTGCAGCGGTACGCATCTATAGGCAGATAGATCTCCATCCATCATTTCTCTCACTCCATGACACATGTGTATGTATTGCAGTTGGGAGGAGAAGCATGGCGGAGGCGGTGGCGGCAGAAGTGGCGGCAGAGGTCGTGGCGGGGGGCGGTCGCGGTGCCGGTCGTGGCGGTCGTGTCGGGGGGGCGGTCGCACTTTGGCGGTGACGGAGAGCGTCCGCTCTCCACGCTCGACGAGCCGCGCAGGATGCACCACACGAAGAGGTTCTGGGGGCTTGAGTAGAGAGGGCGAGGAGGGAGGGGTGTAAATGGACACACCATCCATGAGTAACAAAACAAGCGACCAGCCAGCCTTCGAATACGTTGGATCTATGACAACGGTAACTTGCACTTCTACAACATTCATCCTGCCTTCAGTTCCTTCGCTCAAAACATATGTCCCCATATCTTCGCTTCTCCCACTTGCTAGAGTTGTTGACATAGACGAACCTCGTGAATTTCTCGGCATTCCACTCCAACTCTGTGGTTGGAGGTGGTGCATAAAGGGAGTGGACCAATAGGGGCGGAGAAGTGGCAACGAATGATGCAACATCGCTGCTACGGGAGAGCTTGTTGCTGTAGTCGACATGGACGTCCTGCTGTAGCGTCGCGTTCAGGGTACCTGCTTTAACGTTCTCGATAAGGCTTCTGAAAGCCTGCATGCGTGTCGTTGGGACAACAAGGGGGAAGATCTGAGACGCTAGCGACGCCGTTTTGTCAGCTGTTTCCGACAGGTGTTTCCCAGAATGAGGCAGAACGACTGCGTCGCTGGGAAAAGCCGACCGATAGGTTTTTAGGAATTCTGCTGCGTCTGCCTGAAACCACACTGAGGGGCTGAGAATAAGATAAACATCACCATTGGAAAGACTCTCGTCGGCTTCTCGACTCTCATTGTGGCCCCGCGCCATTTCGTCGTGCACAGCTGCAAGAGCTTCCAAAGGGTCTTGCACAGACAAGACAGATATGGGGATACCGAAAGGGAAGCATGCTGCGTGAGTCAAAGCAGTGGTTTGGCAAAAGTGCTCCATTTTTGAGGCAGGGACGACGCTATAGATGTGCAGTTTTTTCCCTTCAGAATATGGGACGCCGCAAGTACTGAGAGCAGACAGATGCTCCAGTTTTTTTGTACGCTCTTTTGTCGCATGAGTCACATGCTGTGCTATTTGGCCTTCCGTGTAGATTCCGTGATGAATGGTCCCAAAGGCGTTATCCTGGAGAAGGCATAGATGTTTTTGCGTCTCCTTAGGAAAGAGTGCCATGCATTGTTCGCTCGGGCATGTTCTACTGATGTTTCGGTCAAAGACGAGCTTTCTTGGATTTCCAAGGAGGGCACGATTGATGGACTTGCTATCGCTGCTTTTGTCGACACTCAGATGGTTTTCAATGGCCCTCTTCAGGAGATTCCTTGAGAACGCGGTGTTTCTGACGATGAATGTACCGGCGCAAATGAATCGGGAAGACCCCCGGCCGTCCGAAAAGAAGATGGAGTCTTTGTTAGGACACTGTTTGAATATCGACTCCAAAGAAATGTCGCAGTCCATGATGATAACATCCGCATCTTTCCACACAACAGTTTGATATCCCTTGTCTAAGAGGAGAGACACCAATTCCAATTTCCGCTTCTTTGCGGACGCCCGCGACAGAAAGAATTGATGAAAAGCCGTCGATCGCGACATATAGGAGAGAGAAGTCATTGTGGTATTCACCGTAGGTTCTCGCGTGTCCATAATCAGTGTATAGCCCCATTTCTGAAGGACCGTACAGAAATCAAGTCTTGTTGGGTGCGTGGCTCGTGCGAACCTGACAGTATCGCTGCAAGAGTGTCAAGCTGTTTTTCCAAGCAGCTGCGTCCTTTTTTGTGGTGTTGTACCAGCTAATTGTGACAATGGCAATCATTCCAGCACTTCCATGTCCTGGAATCGCCTCGATTTTATCTGCATCAGGCACGTCCTTCATGAAATACTCCAGCATTAGCGCCGGCGAATGAATTCGGGGAGAAAGCCCATGAGACGAACTGTGATTGTCCCTCCTCGAATGCAACGACAGAACACCACCGCAGAACAAAGGCCACAGCGGGAAAAAGCATACAACGATTAACATTCCAGGAAAATAGTAAATGTGGGTTTGGGCGGAACTCGACTCTGAAAAAAATCTAAGAGCGACGGCCCAACAAGCGAAGGTTACGCTGTGCGGCACCCGGTGAATGGACGGCTGTGCCGCCGCTATGGCAATTTGACTTCGTTTATCGTTTATCAATTTAATACTCGATACACCGAAGAGGAAATATGAAGAGACGGACAACCCGCGCATCGCTTCAGGCATGGAAGTGGATACATGCAAGGAAAGTCCCCTACCTAATCTCCTTGCGCCCTCCATCTAGGCGCTCATGGCTGTTTGGTGTGGAGTCACCCCTCTCCCGCTGGTCTGCTCTCGACCGCCATTGCGTCTCTGTCCTGCCGACCCATCATCTCCAGCCCCTCAGGTATGTTTACGTGACTCGTGTGTGTCGCGCCATAGCATGTCGCTACCTATATGATTGGTCCTTGGTTTTGGCCCATCGTATCCACGCTATGATTTGATGGTGTTGATGCGATATTGGCCATGGCTCAGTGCAGTGGGCCGAGCTCCATGCTACCGTTACACGGTGCCTGTAGCTCGCAGTCTACGCTTGACCATGACGGACACCGCATCACGCCTGGACCACGTGCACAGCGTCACAGGTATGTACACGTGCACCGCATGAGCTCTACTACACACCCGCACATCGCTTTCCCATGTTGGTTGGCTTCAGTGTGCCCTCGGTGCGTGTTCGTTACGTCATGCGGATGGATTGCCATTGTTCGGTCGTCGTAGCTCATACGCCGGTATGCATCTACACTCTACCTGCTCGATGAGCCACGACCATGCGCACCACTGGCTTGTATGGCATCTCGTGATGTGTGCAGGTTGGTTTGGTTGTATCTATGGTCTTGGTTGTTTGTCGGGTCGCTTGGGACACACTTCTCGCTACTGCTGGTATGCTCACGCACTTGTGGTGCGGATCATCCATCCTATCACTGTCTGTGTGCCTCCGGTGGTTCAGGTTGTCGTGTGTCGTGGTGCCTGACGGGTTCACACTTACTGCGGGGTGCGCATCCATTGTATCTGGTACGTCACCTCCACACACACGCCTTATTGCGTGGCACACACCATCCATCTCTCTCTCTGTGTGGGCGTGTGGCTGGTGGTGCAGGGTGCTGGGGTGTTGGTCGTGTCGTGTGTTGGTTGTCTGGGTTGAGCACACCACCACACCTCCATCGGTATGTTACTCGCACCACCCCTCCCGCCAACACTACACCTATCCTGTCCATCCTCACCTCTGGTGTGTTCGGCTGGTGCTGTTTGTGTGGTGTGATGGTGGTGCAGTATTGTGTTTGTGACCTTCGTTTGGACCTCTGCGTGTCTTCGATTACATCATGCCGCTGACCGCTGACCGTTGATCCGACCGATCGGCACTCACGTCACGTTCACCCACGGCATACACATCGGCATACCGATCATCGACATGGGCGCAGCAAGCAGCGATCCCTGACCATCAACAACGAACCAGACAATGTCGTATCAGCACCCAACCCCACCAGCCACAGTGCCACCAGCGAACGACCGTCAGCCTGGCCAGCAGACGGCTTCGTCCCGATCCCTCGCACCCCTGATGAACGTCGCACCCGTACGAGGAGTGCAACAAGCCTCCCCAACACCAGTGCCGACCCAGGAGGCGCGGCAAGGACGGTATGCTGTGGCGGCGTACCCATACGGTGCATCGACGTCACCTCAGGCTCCGGTTGCGACAGGGCGATCCCGGCTCTCTCAAGAGCCTGCCCAGGGGTCAGTCAGTGAGGTCATCGAGCGGTTTCGGCAGGGCCTCCAAGGCCGCACGTTCCAACGCGCGGAGCTGGAGAGCCTCTACCACATGCTCAACCACACTTATATGGACGGCGGACCCATCCAATCCGCAGACCTTCACGCTGGCTCAGGGGCAACCACGTACGCAAGTCCAGCGTGTCACGGCGGGCGGCGAGCAGACAGGAGGCTCCGGCGGCCTCCGCTCGCACGCTCACACATACGGTGCGCCGGGGGGCATGGCGGGACAGCCCGACACCTTCGTCATCCCCATCGACCACCAGCCCCCTCCCCCACCCACCCCACCCCCAGACCAACAGCGCGCGTCCTGGTGGGCGCGAATGGCCAACATAGGCGGTAGAGCATTTGCCAGCAGTCAGACTCCTGCACACGCGTCGGCGAACGCGTCAGCCCCTCCCCAACACGCCACCACCGACGACTCTGGGCCCTTCTACTCGCCAGAGACACCGGCGACGGCGCCGGTCTACCATCCATCCGTCCGGGCAGACCCGGAGACGGCGAGGAGAGCCAGAGAGAGCGTGACGGTGGGCGCCACCCACCCAGGGGTGGACATGGCACTCGAGGACATTGAGAGGGCGCTGGCGTGGCATCTCGAGCGGCAGGTCCAGGTCCAGGGGGAGCTCGAGAGAGCCTACCAAGACCGAGGGCATGAAGGGCAGCGCAGAGAGAGGCTGGCCCAGCTCCACGAGATGAGTCGTCAGATCGGACAGGACGTCGAGACGAGTCGGCATCGACGCATGGAGCGCATCCAATACCTCAGCGACCAGGCCCTGCAGGCCGGGCAGCCGGGGGGGGACGCCCATGTCGGGGCAGGGGGACAGACTGACGGTGACCCACTCAGCGGCAGCGGCGCCATCCGGAGGCGCCCAGCAGCACAACACCGGCCAGCCCCCGCCCCACCACCACCACCACCAAGCCATGGTTTGGCGCCACTTCTGCCGCAACCGGCCCCAGCGGGTGGCCGGCGAGCGGGCACTGCACAGCCTCTGAGTGGGAGTGCGGCTGCATCTTCCGTCCTGCCCCCAGTGGAGGGGAGGGCGGGAGGCGGCCAGGGGCAATGTGCACATGGCGAAGGGGTGGATGGGGAGGCATCGCGTGGGCAGGGGACGGGGAGCAGCCACCGGCGCTCGGCGTCAGAGCACCCTGACCCACACGATGGCTCTCGGCGCCAAGGGCGTGGCGTCGAGGTGGACAATGCCAGTCATGGTGTTAGAGGTGATGATATGGGAGGGAGTAGCGTGACCTACCGCGGTGCTGACTTCTCGACACATCGCAGTCCGCAGAGGAGCACAGACGGCCACCCGCGGCCCCGCAGCACCTCACGGCGTCGCCACAAGACGGCTGAGGAGAGGAAAGAGGAGAAGATGGACTCGGAGTTGAAGCTGCCGGCACTCCTCGAGTACGACAACAAAGTCGGCGGCAAGTGGCACCGGTGGAAGACGCAGGTCGAGATCTTCTTCACCTACTACCTGGAGCAGGAGAAGGTCCTCACCCAGGGTCCCTGTGGCAGCGACAGCCCGGCAGTCCAGAAGGCGCGGACGCAGCTGTTTGGCCACCTCCACAACCGCCTTGACATGACGATCTGGGCTGCCGTCAAGTCCATGATCGGCACGGAGGCCCTCCTGGCCAAGAACGGCACGGCGGCGTGGCAGGCACTCCAGCAGTGGATGGAGCCGCGTACCGAATCGTATCTGGAGGAGCTGCACAAGAAGCTGAACACCCTGCCCAGGGCAGCGACGGCCGAGCTGGCCGCCATCCAGATTCGGGGGCTCGAGGCGGAGATCCTCGAGGCGGGCGGCCAACTGGACTTGGACCCCACTCGCCTCCACCGCTACATCTGCACGATGCCGGACAACATGCTGCCCGCCATCCAGCACATCAAGACCGTCAGGCATCAGCTCAAGGATGTCTTCGAGCAGCAGCGCCAACAGCTGATGGCCTGCGGGATCGCTGTCCCCGATAACCATCCGGTGGTCCCTGACCTGACGCTCGAGTCCCTCGCTCAGCAGGTCGAGAAGCTGGAGAAGGAGCCCAACACCAGCCTGGACCACCTGCACATACCCGGCCTGACCAGCAAGGCGAGCAGCACGCCGAGTGGGGCATACTTGGCCAACAGCAACAACAACAGGTCAGGTGGGGGCCAGAGCGACCAGCACAAGGGCAGTAGCGGTGGTGGCGGCAACAAGGGCGGCCAGAAGGGCAAGAGCCGTCCCTCTGGGTCGGCCCCGGAGGGCAAGATGTTCGCGCCGGTCAAGCAGAAGGGTGACGGCGGAGGCCAGCAGACGCAGCAGGGCACAGGAGCGTCAGCGTCTGGTGGGGGCAAGAAGGAGAATCCACCGGGGCACGGCAACCACGAGAACCTCAAGAAGCCCACGCCGGCGGAGGCAGGGGTCACTCAGGTTGAGTATAGCAAGAGGTGTGCGGAGGGCATGTGTCCGTATTGCGGCAAGGGCGCCCACGAGTAAGTGCTACACGTATCGGGATTACCTCCGCAAGAAGGGCAAGGACATCCCCAAGACGTGGGCTGCCAAGCAGTGCGGTGGGGGAAAGAGCAGCGGTGGTGGTGGTGGTGGTCATGCCGTCAGACTGGCCATCATGGACGAGCCGGCACCGCCTGCAGCCTCCGACGACACGCCGACACCACCCCACCCACCAGGGCCGACCCCCAGCACCACCCCGGACGAGTCAGCATACTACACTCGCACGGAGCTGACGGCCGGCACCGACTTCTCGGTCAAGGGCAAGCTTGGCTTCGACTTCGAGAAGGACCATCTGCAGCTGCCTGACCTGGATGAGGACGACAAAGTCATCTTGCTGCTGCAGGACGGCAGCCAGTACGTTGTCATGGACGGCGGCGCATCGACGCACATCTTCAAGGACAAGAGGTTCCTCATCCCTGGCTCAGAGCGGCCCACTCCGGGACTCACCATCAAGACGGCACATGAGGGCCACGACCTCAAGATCCTGTGCAGGGGCGAGGCCATCATCATCGTCATCGACAAGAACGGCCAGCACTTGCCGATGAAGCTGGCCCCGATGTACGTCGCTCCCGACTGCCCTGCCACGCTCATCAGCGAGCGTCAGCTGCATACAAGGGGTGGTGGTGTCCACAAGGTCGCGGGGGAGGCCGACCAGGCCTACCTCTACTGGCATGTGATAGGCATCGACGGCATTCGGCAGACCCGTGTCGTCCCCCTGGACTGTGTGACTGGCGGATATCGCTTGATGGTGCGGCCGTGGACAGAAGACGACGACAAGAGGGCAGAGGAGATGGCGGCGTACGTCACGGTGGGCGATTCCATGGAGACGTCATGGGATGTGCTGCTGGCGGGTGGGGGCCGCACACATGATGATGATGTGAGCTCGAGCGACTCAAGCGACGGCGAGAGTGATGGTGACGGTGCGGACGGGCTAGACAGGGACGTGTGTGAGGCTGATGGATGCGAGGCTGATGCGGGCAGACAGCTATCAGAGGTGATCATGACCAACAAGGAGCGAGAGAACCTCCGCAACGCCTTTGAGCTGCACAAGTGTGCCGGCCACAAGGGCTTCGACGCGCTCTTGAAGCTATCGAGAACCCTCCGTGGCGCCAAGCCCGTCGACAAGGTCGCCTGAGGGGCCAGCTAGGCACCCTGGGGTCAACAGCCATCCTGGTCCTCGTCTTCGTGTGTGCCTACTCCAGCTACACGGTCTCCTACTCGGCCAACTACAAGACGGAGGCGGCCGACATATTCAGGCACTTCCACCGAGAGACGAGCATCATCCAGGAGATCAACGGCCCCATCCGCGGCATCTCCGTCGACCCAGGCAGTGAGCTGTGTGAGCCCAACGCCCCGTTCGGCAAGGCCATAAAGGAGCTCGGCATCGAGGGGCCCATCGTCACGCCAGCCCGCCGACACGAACACCACGGCAAAGCTGAGAGGGCGATTGGCGTCCTGGGCGAGATCGGCCGGACGGTTCCGGTGGCCAGCGGGCTGGACGCCACCCACTGCGGCCAGTACGCCTGGCAGTATGCGGTGCAGACCTACAACATGACGGCACTCGTCAAGCACAACGGGCAGACACACACATCGGAGGGCTGGTGCTTCGAGGGCCGCGACCCGCACGTACACCACCTCCACCCCTTTGGATGCAGCGCGACCGTCCTCATCCCCAAGGAGCGTCAAGGTCATCGCCTGTAGCCTCGGGGGGAGGCGGGGGTGTTTCTGGGCTTTGACCCCGACAACAAGGACACTTCACTCGCATCTATCGAGGCATCGACGTCAAGTTCGATCACTTCTTCTATCCCCTCAACCCATCCCCGTATCCAGGGCTACGTTTGTCGGGAGCAGTGAGTCGGGTGGGGGCGAGACGTCGACTCGCTTAGGGGGTGCTGCTGGGGCGGACGGAGACACCACCCAGCAGCAGCAGCAGCGACAAGTGCAGCAGCCCCCATCGCAACCCGTGCAGCTGAAAGTAGCGGAGCGACCTCAGCGAGATAGGAGGCCTCCGGCACGGCCCTCGGACGAGGGATATCAGTGGCATCGCCCCGCAGCCCCGCCGCGACAATCGACACCTCGCTCTCAGCAGGACGGCCACCCTGCTGCTGGTGTGCAGATGGAGGAGGAGACCGTGTCGGGCGGGGTGCAGCCGGACGGCGAGAGCCGGGCTGCTGTTGATAATGCTGGTGTCGAGGCGGGTGAGAGCCCAGCCGCTGAGCCCGTGCCTCAGCAGGGGCGTCTTGGGGGCGAGGGCGCCGAGATAGTCGTACGCGTAGGGGTGGAGGAGCTCAGCAACACGGCCAGCAAGCCACTAGCGCAGCCCTCTCCCATCCAGCCGTCTGATCAGACGGCCGTCTCACCCACACCACCACCCCCAGCGGCTCCATCTCAGACTGGTGACGCCCCCCACAACCGCAGCGACGTGTACTGTGCCGAAGGCAACGAGCAGCCGGCCGAGTACAGGGGCAAGGCGTTCAACAAGTGGATGCTGCCATGCCATCCCATGTGGCCATGCACCTACAAGAACCTCACTGCCTACCAGCGGCCGCGGGTTAAGGAGCTACGCCGCTACCTGGCTGCAGCGGGCAAGCCGGCATGAAATGAGTCACGGCTGAGGGCACAGGCAAAGAAGGAGTGGAATGCAGCCGACCAGGCGAGACGGAAGATGGGTGTGGAGGAGGCGGAGGCGGTCTACTTGGCCGCCTGCTGGGGGGCGGAGGAGGCCTACGTGGCCACCAGCTTTGGGGTCGGGGAGGACCTGTCGTCTTCCGCTGACCCGGCTGCTGACGCCGTGGATGCGGCTTTGTCCGTGGGCGAGTTCGGCGGCTCCACTGGCACACCACTGGATCGTCAGCTGCTGATCCTTCGGGCGCAGGAGGCCGACGTGAGTGTGTCTGACAACGACTACGCCAAGTGGATGTCGAACATGAAGGTCACGCCGTCAATCATCAGCAAGATGAGCCCTGAGAACCAAGAGAGGTTTCGGGAGGCGGATGCGGCAGAGGTCGAGAAACTCGAGCAGCACGAGACGTACATTTGGCGCAAGAGACGTGAGGTCCCCAGAAGCTCACAGATCTTCCACATCTTGGCTGTGAGAACGACCAAGGCCGACGGGCGGCCGAAGACACGGCTTGTCATCAACGGCAGCCAAGACGAGCGACAGCACGAGACGCTCTATGCTCCCACCAGCCGCACCGCCACGGTCAAGCTGCTCATCGCTATGGGCCTCGCCAAGGGCCACGACACAGAGCAGGCCGACGTCGAAAGCGCCTTCCTGCATGCCTCTATGCCCGAGGAGCAGCAGCCCGTCTTCGCTTACCCGACGGACGAGATCCTCGCCCGCCACCCAGACAAGAAGAAGTACGAGGACATCCTCAACGACCACTTCGTTGATGTCCTCAAGCGAGAGGGCTTCAGCCAGTCAGCGGTGGACAAGGGGCTGTTTTATCACGAAGCCAGAGACCTGTACATCAACCTGTACGTCGATGACGCGCTGCTGATGGGGCCGCCGGAGGGCAGGGAGTGGCTCAAGGAGCTGCTGGCGAGCCAGTTCAAGATGAAGTGGCTGGGCCGTCCACGGCTGTTCGTCGGTATGGAAATCGAGTACACCACCAACGGCGTCATCATCCATTAGACCAGCTACGCTAACAAGATCGTCGAGGCCTTCCTGCCCCCCAACAGCCGGCCCGTCACCACGCCGATCGCCCCCGGCATACACATCGGCACCGAGCCGCTTCCTTCGGACGAGGAGTGGGAGCACTCACCCCTCCGCAAACTGCCCTACCGGCAGGTTGTTGGATCCGTCCTCTACCTGGCCACCGGCACACGGCCTGACCTCCTCTACCCAGTGAAGGAGCTGGCCAAGTGGATGTCGAGATGGACCCAGGACGACTACGATGCGGCGTTGCGTGTGTTGCGGTATGTGAAGGCTCGCCCGAGCCTCGGGGTGCAGTTCGACAAGGGCGGCGACCCCACACAGCTGGTGGGGTATGCGGACGCGTCATTTGCCGATTTGGCCGACAGGCGATCGACGTCTGGATGGCTCTGGCTCTATATGGGAGGCATCGTCAGCGCTCAGTCAAGGACGCAGCCGAGAGTGTCCACCTTAATGGTGAAGGCCGAGTACAAGAGCGTCTCTGAGTGCGCCAAGGACGGCGATGCCCTCGCCAACACCCTCAAGACCATCAACGTGTCCGTGGCGCGGCCGCTGACGCTGTACAGCGATGGGATGGGGGCCTGCTACGTTGCGTCCAACAAAAAGGACAGCCGCCTGCTGCGGCATGTGGATGTGCGTTACCACCACGTGCGTGAGCTGGTGGGGGACGGGCTGCTGCGGGTGGTGCACATCGCTGGAGCCGACAACCCGGCTGACATCCTCACAAAGCCGATGGACCGCGCCACTTTGGAGAAGCACCTGCGGACCCTGAAGATGGTGCCGGTGCAGCCGAGCAGTGAGTGATTGTCTTCATCAGTTGGCCTTTTATGTGTGTCGTGGGTGCATATCGCATGTCGCTCTCGGTCACCCATGGTGGGCTGCTGGGTGTTTGGTTCATTGGGTATGTTTATGTGTGTTGTCATACATTAGTGTGGCATCTTATGCATCATTCATGTCCATTCAGTGTGGTGTCCATGCTGGGCTGATTAGGTGCCTATCCACTGCATGTGGGCCTAATCATTTTCGCCCTTTTGGTTGGTTGACAGCCAAGTGTTTTTCACTTTTATGTGCGCTTGGCTGCCATGTACTCACTCTCGTTTGGCTCGCGTGGCTACATGGGGGTGAGGGTGTCGCGCCATAGCATGTCGCTACCTATATGATTGGTCCTTGGTTTTGGCCCATCGTATCCACGCTATGATTTGATGGTGTTGATGCGATATTGGCCATGGCTCAGTGCAGTGGGCCGAGCTCCATGCTACCGTTACACGGTGCCTGTAGCTCGCAGTCTACGCTTGACCATGATGGACACCGCATCACCCCTGGACCACGTGCACAGCGTCACAGGCATGTACACGTGCACCGCATGAGTTCTACTACACACTCGCATATCGCTTTCCCATGTTGGTTGGCTTCAGTGTGCCCTCGATGCGTGTTCGTTACGTCATGCGGATGGATTGCCATTGTTCGGTCGTCGTAGCTGATACGCCGGTATGCATCTACACTCCACCTGCTCGATGAGCCACGACCATGCGCACCACTGGCTTGTATGGCATCTCGTGATGTGTGCAGGTTGGTTTGGTTGTATCTATGGTCTTGGTTGTTTGTCGGGTCGCTTGGGACACACTTCTCGCTACTGCTGGTATGCTCACGCACTTGTGGTGCGGATCATCCATCCTATCACTGTCTGTGTGCCTCCGGTGGTTCAGGTTGTCGTGTGTCGTGGTGCCTGACGGGTTCACACTTACTGCGGGGTGCGCATCCATTGTATCTGGTACGTCACCTCCACACACACGCCATATTGCGTGGCACACACCATGCATCTCTCTCTCTGTGTGGGCGTGTGGCTGGTGGTGCAGGGTGCTTGGGTGTTGGTCGTGTCGTGTGTTGGTTGTCTGGGTTGAGCACACCACCACACCTCCATCGGTATGTTACTCGCACCACCCCTCCCCCCAACACTACACCTATCCTGTCCATCCTCTCCTCTGGTGTGTTTGGCTGGTGCTGTTTGTGTGGTGTGATGGTGGTGCAGTATTGTGTTTGTGACCTTCGTTTGGACCTCTGCGTGTCTTCGATTACATCATGCCGCTGACCGTTGATCCGACCGATCGGCACTCACGTCACGTTCACCCACGGCATACACATCGGCATACCGATCATCGACAGTGTGACAAACCACCCCGTGTCGCGTGAAAAAGTGAGCGAAAGTGATGAGCTACACGCTGCGCTGCCCGAGTCGTCTGTCCCCTTCCCCTTCAGTCGCAGCGGCTGATTCAGCCGGGCACCGGCTGAACGTGCGCCAACAGGCGTCGGCCGCGGCAGCGTCTGCGTCTGCGGTGTCTGCGGTGGCCAAGGCGATCGATGTTCAAGACAGTGCCGTTTGTCAAGGACATGGAGGCTGGTGATGGAGGAGTTCCGTTTCCGGGCAGCCTTTTCCCATCAGGCCACTCCACTTGGCGGGCCCGATGAAAAGGGTTGAGGGCGACAGCGCCACGCAGCAGGGATATGATATTGGCTACATCCATCGGGGCCCGTGCCGTGTGTGGCGAACTCAATCCTGACGCAACGGCCATTCTGGTCACTCCAGCGCTCTCGTTGATTTTGGATACTCGAATATGTCCCATGGTGCAGGTGGCTCTTCCCTTCCATGATCGTCGTGTCGCCTCGGCATGCTCGCTGAATCAGGCAGCTGGTCCAAACACACTTTACCTAAGTGCCCCCCGCGGAATAGCTGCAAGAAAAAGCGACAACCTGCATGCGTCAGGGTCATCGAGGGCAGAGACAGCATCAAGGACCCAATCGTTACATTTGTCAGTAGTTTGTTGCGAGGATACCTGCGAGCGGGTCCGGCACTTTGTCAGGTCTGACCATCTTAAGGGTCTGCGCCGTGAAGGACGATATCTGGTTGGTGCAACGACAAGTTGGCAAGTGTCACCCGTGTCGCTGTTTGATTCTTCCTTACGTATTTTATGTCATCAGAAGGTCCTGTGAGCCCCAGTACGTCGACATAGCGGTATAGTCGCCTGCAGTTGAGCTGATGCAGCACGTAATCAGCTGAACACGAAATACTCACACGCCACCGCCGCGACATACACCCTCGTGCAGTCCAGGCGCTCACCAATATACATTTCGCCGGCCCAGTAGTCGAGAATTGAACCTGGCAGGATAGTACGACCAGAATACTACATGGTTGACGAACGCCCTGTAGTAATGCGACCTAATGCAGCCATTTTCAAGTTGGTCTCGGGGTCTATAGTCCTGTGAAAGCGGCACACGAAGGCTATGGTGCTACCACTCGTGACTTCATGACGTAAGGGTTCTGTCCTGCTTCACTTTTTGAGTGTGATGCCTGGCGTGTCGATGCAATAGATCCTGGGCTTGTTGGAGATCTGAAAGAAACCTGACATAAACGACAGCCAGCCCCGACAGGGTTTGCTACGCATGCGCATTACTTATGTTTCTTCTGCCTTCGCCTACCAACGTCTTTTGTCACGCCCGGCAGAATTCCCACAGCCGACTCGGTACGCCCTGGAGGCAAAACGAAACAGAGGGATGACAGCTCTGGCATGATTTCCGGCCTGCATGCTGTCAGCTTACGAACGTCCTTGACGATCTGGTTGCCAGGCCTCCCATACTTAGCGGCCTGAAAAAAAAAAACTCCTTACTCGCATGCGCGTCGCTGTCCATCTGTGTGCCTCACAGCGAAGGCAAGCCTCTTGAGAGAGTTGATGACTGTCGATTTGCCGGCATTGGGCACCCCACACACCTGACTCACAGACATGAGTAGAATACACAACTGTGTGTGCCTAGGTGCATGACTACCATGACCCATATGCCGATCGTCTTGTAGTCTGGCCGTATGTGCTTCACGGCCCACTCGTGAACCTTGGCAGTGCCACGATTGGTCGACGCACTCGTCAACACGCACTAGAGGGGGCGAGCAGGGGGAGACAGACAGCACACAGAATGCATCCAGCATGGAAGGCGGGATTTGATCGATCTACCGGAAAGCCAGCGTCCTCGATGATCTCCTGCGCCCTCTGCAAACACATACAGTACGAGGGAAGCGACACCCGTGTTCGTCTTGGCCCTTACATGAGCAAGTTTCTCGGAGACGAGATCGACCTTGTTAAGCACAATGAGCCTCTTGATGTCCTTGGGGATCTGCCTGGTGAACTGATAGCTAGCACTCGTGAAGGGCGCCCTGGCGTCCCGCACCTCCACGACAAAGTCGATGAACTTGAACCGCTTCTCCATCTTGACCCTCGCATTCGCCATGTGACCCGGATACCAGTGTATCACCTTGTCGTACCTGAACTCTCCGCGCGGCACGAATGCTGGAAAGCGGTGCATGATGCGAATTTTTGCGCAATGAATCAATCATGCTTAGCTCGCAGTCCCCTCGTGCGTGTGCCTGCTCGTATGTTGCCGTCGTTCGCAGCGCATTGCATATCCATCCACCTGTTCGCTGCCTCTGCCCTCCGCGTGCTGCTTGTTGGGTGTCCGTGTTGCATGTCGGGTGCGTCCGCGAATTGGGCTAGTGCGCATTTGCGTCTTTAAGAAACAACACGTTCGGCAGACAAAACGTTCGATCACGATCGTATGGGAGAGAAAAGGAAAACCGGTAGCGGTGTTGTGTTGCTTGCAGTACTGCAGACACGTCAATATGTCGAGAAGCTTCGTGGTTTTTTGTCACAGTGAACGTTAAACTGATGTACCCTAAAGCGATAAGTCATTGAAAAAAGCTTGGCCGCAGTCTGTCTGGGGTGCTTCCTTAAACCGCTGCTGCTTGATCGCGCTTGCTTCCCGGAGAAGGTCAACGAACAAGGGTATCTCTGGGCGCGAACTTCTTGAAAAAGCAAGATCCATAACGGAAGTAAGCATCAACTGACTGAACACACGAAACGCGCCAGTTTGTGGTGGATGGATGTTTCTTCTTTGTCCGGTCATGCAGCTTGTTGAGCTTGGCCAGCTCTTCACGCAGGCAGTCAGGCCATTCTTGCCTCAGCCACTTCTCATCAAAGTCCCGCGCAATGTGGAGGCCTTCGAGGGACGTCACTCTTGGCAGCTCCACATAGATGGCAAGAGGAATCGTTGCCTTCGTCTGGTAAGGAGGAGGGTTGAGATCCACCGTTACCTCCTT